TTAATGGTGACTGTTTTTCCAGATATCGCTCTACTAAGCTGGTCATTAATCACTACATGCATTTATTAGTAACACTTTACATGAAATCCCCATGCTGTATTAAAATGTAGTTCCTATTTTGTCGTTTTTTTGGTGCTATGATTCAATATGTTACATGTCATTGGCTCCATCTCCTGGTCGTTTTGAGTATTACAAAGGTTTTTATTCTCCCTTCTGTTTATGACGATTTACCACATCAAAGGTCCATAACCTATTTCACTCTTTTGTAATATCTTTCACATTACGGGACTACAAACCCACTACCTTTATAATGTACCATACATTAAGGGTGTCTTCCGCCCATTCTCTTTATGATGTCTGTAACATCAAGGGTTTTCCTGAGCCCTTCAATGGAATCATCCACTCTCTTTATAATATAATGTTTTAAATCATATTAAAGGTGCTCTGCGCCTAATCTCTCTTTATAATATAATGTTTTAAATCATATTAAAGGTGCTCTGCGACTAATCTCTCTTTATAATATAATGTTTTAAATCATATTAAAGGTGCTCTGCGCCTAATCTCTCTTTATAATATAATGTTTTAAATCATATTAAAGGTGCTCTGCGCCTAATCTCTCTTTATAATATAATGTTTTAAATCATATTAAAGGTGCTCTGCGCCTAATCTCTCTTTATAATATAATGTTTTAAATCATATTAAAGGTGCTCTGCGCCTAATCTCTCTTTATAATATAATGTTTTAAATCATATTAAAGGTGCTCTGTGCCTAATCTCTCTTTATAATATAATGTTTTAAATCATATTAAAGGTGCTCTGCGCCTAATCTCTCTTTATAATATAATGTTTTAAATCATATTAAAGGTGCTCTGCGCCTTATCTCACTATTCTGTTGCATTTACTCCTTACTTCGACCACACTTGTCACGCCCTGGCTCTAGGGACTCTTTTAAGTTGAGCCAGGGTGTGTAGAGTTTATGTTTTGTGCTCGTTGTGTCTAGTCTAGTTTTTGTATATCTATGTTGGCCAGAGTGGTTCTCAATCAAAGGCAACGAGTATCAGCTGTTGCTGGTTGTCTCTGATTGGGAACCATATTTAGTCAGGTGGTTTTCCCACAGTGTTTGTGGGATCTGGTTCCGTGTTGGGTTGTGGTTTGTGGTTTGCACCTGTGGACGTCACGTATCGATTTGTTGTTTTGTTCGTGTATCATTTAATAAATAAGTATGTTCACCTTCCACGCTGCGCCTTGGTCCTCTATATCCGATGATCGTGACAACACTCTAATTTGAATCATAGCAAATTATATATTCCTCCTTACATCCCTTTACATAATTCAATACCACTCATCATCCCCCTTTAAAATATTGAATTTTAAACGTTCGTTACAGCTAAGCCTTACCACAGATAAGCTGATTTTGACATAATTCAAAAAATGAAAGTCTGCTTACCTGTTAGTTGAGCTGTGAACTGCATCCTGTTCGTTTAGACGCCAATCTGTTATGATGAGTTTCTCAGGTATCAAAGAATCAAGGATGCAAGGATATTCTTAGACACTCTGTGGAGATTTCATACCAAGTATTTATTGAGTCACGAGCTCGTGGGTTCATCTAACAAACGGACATGGCTTTGCCCTTCGTCAGTTGAACTAACTTGACAAAGAAGACACTCTATCTTATATAGCCTTGGTTCTCATTCCTTTCACATACATGTGGCAAGTCTCTATGGGCACTCCCTGTCGTTGATGTTCATCACTTTTTACCCCAAGTCAGTATCCTAAATATCACTCATGCTATCCTAAACATCACTAATCTACCTTGACATAATGGGATGTAGACTTCATGGCCCCAAACCACTCATCTCTTAACTCTTCCTCTGTCCTCACAACACTATGGCATGACATCATTATACCATAAAAACATCATATCAGTAATGATCCCAAAATGGCACCCCATTCCCTATACACAGTGCACTAGTTTTGACTGGAGCTCTAGTCAAAAGTAGTGCACTCTATAGGGAATAGTGTGCCATTTCAGACACACCCTTGGTCTAGCCTTTCTGTGATATGGTGAATGTCATCTAAGCTGCTCTAGTCTATATCTGATCGAGGCTTGTTTCTCTTCTCACACTACCTTAAGGTCAGGCTCTGGCTGTCTTTGATTGACCTAAGAAGTTCACTGGGGTTAATTAGAACTTGCTGAACACGTTTTCATTTGGTGCACTGTATCCACAAATGTAATATGCTATTTAAATGCCATGGTAAAGGTTAACCGGCATAGAGAGATCATTCATAATGTATCCCCAGCCCGGCGAATGTTTGTGATATGATATCATGCGCTCTTCTTCAACCCAAGCTATCTGTATTAGTCAGGTATGTTAAGGCCATGCTATGTGTGTGGATGGATGGATACTGCCTTAGGTGATGTGTTTTGGACAGTCTTCAAACACACCTGCATTGCATAAATGGGTTCATCATTATGCAAGGTACACTTTCTTTTTATGTTAATAATGTAAATGCATTGAAATACACAGTACCAGAGGTGTGTATAAACTTAAGTATTGTAGGCATGTACACACTGGGCAAAATCTGGTTGAATCAATGTTGTTTCCACCTCATAAAAAAATTAGAAATTAAATGTGATGACGTTAAATCAACGTGGGAAACTGCTTAGACTTGCAAAAAGTCATCAACGTAAGGGAATTTCGTCTTTTTACACCCAACTTTAAATCTAAATCCAGTGACATGGTGAGGTTTTTTGTGGATTTCACATTGAATTCACATGAATGATGTAAATCAAAACTAGATGTTGAAATTACATCTGTGCCCAGTGGGTATACAGGTATATATACTGTATATATACAGCTATGACATATAGAAAGAAAGAAAGAAAAAATTGACTCAGGGTGTAATTATTAACAAGTACACAAGTGTATTTTATTTAACGCAAGCAAGTTTGTTCCTACAGTTAAAAAAAAGCCACTGTTTAAGCCGTTGGCACATGTATGTACAAAACAGATGATGAAGAATCGTACAGCCTGCTACAAAGCATTCTTAGTGAAAGTACAAAAGACTAATATGGGAGGATAAAGCAGAAAGCATTGTCAGGTTAATACTGAAGAAGTGAATACGCAACATCATAACAAGTAGTATCAATTTTTTAAGACATGGTTTTAAAGGAGGAAGGGACACAAAATCATACACTACAACCTAATTGGCTATTTGTTTACTTAGCATAATACTGTTAGCTTAGGAACCGCAATACTGCACATATAAGAAATCAGTTGACTCAGACAGTCCAAGCGTAAAAATGAGAAATGAAAATTATAAAGAGAGAGGATATTTTTACTTTTTGAATCAGTTAAAAACTATTACCACTGAATGCATAACCATGCCACAAATAACAACTAGATTCATGGTTCTTTTTACCTAGATAATACAAGTAATTTCTTTATTGGTTAATAACCAAATGCTGCATGACTACAGTACAGAGATTCAGCTTCGAATCCAAATGCACTTAACACCAAGAAAGAGCTCACAATGGTTGAATAAGTGCACAAATAAATATTTTTTTCTTTTTTGTTAGAAACACTGTCAACAAGACTGTTGTCAGCCAACGGAATGATGAAACGCTGTACTGCAGAACTAGAGTACTAGAAAGAGTTAAGACAGAGTTTGGTCCATACTCAAGAGTAATATAGTTTTAATTGTTTTATTTGTTTTATTGACATTTCTTGTCTTTTAGTATAGCTTCACAGACAGTCAGGGTTTTGGTCAGTTTTATTTTAATTCAGTCAATTCTGGAAGAATTTCAGTTTATTTCCTGAGTTGACTGGACTGAAATGGAATTGAACCCAACCCTGCAGACAGTTAAGTTATCTCTCAATGTGATATTCAACTTTTTCCACGTGTAGCAATACGACCCTTTCAGGCCTAAAGCTTGTTCATCCGCTTGCCGTCTAGATTTTGTTACCATATTTATTTCACTGGTATCTCTGAAATGGACGTTCACAAGAATATCACCAAACTTTGACCACTGAAATTAATGACCTGAAATTGAAGTGTTTCACATATATGTATATATTTATATACTGTAGATATATATACAGAGCAGAATACTGACAAAAAACATCTCATATTTTTTCTTCTGATAACTTGTATTTAAAAAGTGGAAGATTAAAACATATAAAAATTAAACCTGTAAAATGTTATTTGCATGTGAGTTATGGCTTACGACGGATGAGGAAGTGGTTTTCTACAGAGTTTCCCCCACGGCATAATCCTGAAAGGCCATTCTATCAGATGTATTTCTACGTCATGTCAATCCCACAAGCTTTTTCTTCCTCCTACTACACATCATCATCATCTTCATCACTCCGCTGACTTACCACTCAACCAACTGTTATTTTTTTCACAGTGAACACTATTATTATTGACAGACAATCAGTGTTTTTCACTTTCAATGACTAGGCTACTCGACAAAGCTAGCATACATTTCTGACAGTTAGACCAAGCTACGCTTATAGCAATATGTAAAAAGTCACTTTAAGGTACTTTTATATTTATTTGAGAATCCCTGGCACTCCCAACCAATAAAATAATTTTCAGAAAAAAGATTCTGTACATTGTTTTTATACCGGTGATGCTTACTGTTTCAGAAGCTTATTATGCTGTAATTTACCTGTAAATGATACAAGTTTGGTCACATTTTGGTCTTGTTAAGTGGATATGTTGAAATAAAATGTATGGTAAAAACGATGTATGATTGGAGCCCCGTTGAATGACGAGCATTTAGGAACGTATAAATATATTACACGGAAATGTGAATTAAAAAGTGATAAAAACCCCAACCCCTCCTAAAACGAAACATAAATAAATTGAAGTACTCGATGTTGAGATATAGAACAACATGGTAAAAAGAAATGACACATTGTAAAAAGACAAGTGAGTCACTCACTTCATGTGCTACTAGTAATGTGCTGTCTCTGAAAAATATACAAAATGCAAATGGTGAAGAAAGAGAGGAAGAGGTGGAAGAGGAGGAAGAGGGAAAGAGTAGGATCTAAGAAGAAGAAAAGGTAGAGGTACGGGAGGAGTAAGAGGAGGAGAAATAGAAAGGAAATCTCAATACAGGAAAGAAGGGTTTGTCAGAGAAGACACACAATATCCCGTAGGAACAACCTATCTCATCACACCCGTAAGCTTAGTGAAGTCGAAACCACCCACAACACAACACCCCAAACCCCCCTTACCCTTGTGCCCCTACGAACATAAACACCAGACACTGAATAGCTTGTGTGGTTTCTGTGTGTGTTCTGCTGCATGTGTGTCATGGACGTGTGTGTGTGTGTGTTGGAGAGGGGGGGAAGGATAGGGGGACGGGGCAGGGGGAGGCGTGGGCTTTATGTGTATGCGTTGAGACGCTCTTTAGAGCGAGTGGAGTGGATGTCGTGTAGCTCCTGCTCCTCCTTGGACTTGATGTCCTCGTACTTCTGCATCCGGCACGCGTCCTTCACGTAGGCCCAGTTAGCAGACAGCACCATTAGGTAGTGTACCTGTATTAGAGGGACACATGGGTTTCAGGGATGTTAGTGGGAGGTTAGTTAACCGCTCAACCAAGCCTATAACTCAGGGGAGAGTTTATTGATTAATTAATTAGGCTGGAACAGAATTTGTTAGATAATTAGACAAAGCTATAACCAAAAACCCAAAACAGATGTTTTAGGTCAGTGTCACTGTGCCGTCACAGGTTTAAAACCAAAACAAACAAACCAAAATTTGAGGGATGGATTAGTTGATCAACCTTATTCTTTAATGAGCTCTGTGTCTGTTATGGTTGTGTCAGCATTTGTGCTAGTCAGGTGAACGGGGCGTGACAGGAGAGCTAGGTTATCAATATAACTATCAATAGCAACCAGAGGGGCTTGGTTATTATAATTAATGCTGCCAGCAAAGCATATTTTTGTGAATAATAACAGAATCATGTGACGTGACCGATGACAGAGCTGGCGATGCGTTGGGGGCGACCCCTAAGCTCCTAGGTTCAGAGTTCAGTTCGGCCATGTTGATATCGAGGCGGTCGGCTCCTCTCAACTCCTGACGGCGTACAGTGATGTCACTGAGACCACTGAGGTCAGGGGTGAAGGTGATGGGCCAACCGATAGGCCCCCGTCAGAAGCGGGTGCAGTATTTGCCCAGACTCTGAGAGGTCAGGAGGACATAGTTACGGACAAGGACCGTGGCAGCTGACGCCTGTCCGTATCAGACCAGGGAGAAAGAGAGAAGGAGAGACAATAGATAGTGAGGAAGCAGTTATTCGTCTCTGGGTCGGGTTCATTAGGCACCAAATGGAAGAAGAAGGAGTGAAACAGGGAGCAACTACGTTGAGTGTCCTAGCTAATGAACATATCCCTGATGTGTTTCTGCAGTAACTATTTTCTCCACTGAGTGGCAGTGAGGTGTCAGTGATCAGCCAACCAGAGCATCCGCTGCAGAGGTTCTGAAGAAGTAGTTATGAGGTAATTAAATAAAGAAAAACACCTGCACTCCTCTGGCCCAGTTCTAGGATATATGGCCATTGGTCAAGTGTATGGTCTTTATCTATTGATGATATTGTGCTGTATTGATGTTGTGAAGATTAACATGCCTAACGAATTTCCCAATCTTGGGATAATTAAGTTATTCTATTCTATTGTTACATAATGACATGACTCAAACTCATAATGAATAAACAGATTCACCTAGATAGATCCAGTTGGAGATACAGACAGTACTTCATTCATACAATTTAAGATAATTTATCACAGAAAATATTAGATGAGAAGATGGTACATCAATATTGTCTATGCATATTGATTTCTTAACCGTTTTCTAAACCTTGGCTCTCAGTGAGAACTAACACGAACACACTTAGGTGTCATCCCATTGTGTATTACCATAGATATCCACGGGTGGCCAAAGTGCACACAGTTGGGCTACAGATACAGGCTTTGTGTTGTGGTCCAAGGAAGAAGTGCCACTCCCGCCCAAATTGATTACCATTTCATTTGACCTTCTCTTGTCTTTTATAGTCTTCAGACAACGCAGCAGCAATGTCCTACTTGTAGATTTAAAACATTACATCATGGGTCTAAGGACTGGAAATGTGTGACGTTGTTTATATTTTTGTGGTAACATGAAGCTGTTATGGACATATCTATTTGATGACAAGCAAACCATAAGAAACTAGTGTTGATGTTTTGACAAAACATTTCTCTGTTATTTTCACTGTGAACATGTGTTTTTGTTTAAAAAGGAACTAGATACCGAATAACAGCCTTCATTAAATGTGTATCCCTGGCTACAGACGCAGCAGTCTTCTCCAGTGAAGACGGTTGCTCCAGACCTCACCATCACTTAGCTGCTCTCAACAATCTCCTTTCTTCTTCCCCAGTTTCCATGGCAACTGCACCCTGTGCTTCTCCATCGCTGGGTTCACACCTTCTCTTGTCTATAGCTCTCTCTCTCTCTCATTCTCTCTCTCTCTCTCTCTCTCTCTCTCTCTCTCTCTCTCTCTCTCTCTCTCTCTCTGTCTGTCTCTCTCTGTCACTATTTCTTACTCTCTGTGTGTCTCTCTCAGTGTGTCTCTCTCTCACTGTCTCTATCCCACAATCACTCAATGTCTCTCTCTCAGTCTGTCTCTCTCTGTGTCTCTCACTCAATCTGCCTCTGTTTTTCTCTTTCTCCCTCGATCACTCTCTTTCTCGATCTACATTGCTCTGAATACTGAGAGGACCTATTTCAACTTCAGCAGGATAAAAAACAGTCAGTTTTTCTCCCGATAACCAATCTCTTGAATCCCTAGTAGTATAATCTTTGAAATGTCCCCACACAACAAGACAATCCTCTCCCGCTAAGGTTTACCCTGGCTGCCTATCTTTATGTGTTCAGACAGAGGGGAGTGACAGAATAGAGTGGCGATGCTATCAACAGACATTAAGGACCAATGGGCAGGTCACACAACCCTCAGACATAAAGTAGAGCTGCAATTGCCATTGTCTCACCATGGCGATAACGGCAGCCCCAGCCCCGGCCAGGGCACAGACGAACAGGTGGAACGTCATGTCCAGCTGAAAGACAATCAAACACAACACAGCTTTATTAGTCACCAGGAATTAAAGACAATTAACAACATCAGTGCTTGCTTTGTTGGTATTCAAAATGGGACACAAAGCATCGTTCCAACTTGTAATGTCTGTGTTTACAATATTGCCAGGTCATGTTGAGATTAAAAAACTAAATCACAGAGCGGTTGCTTTGAGAGTGAGATAGGGCAAGATTTATTAAGATTTGTACCAGTGCAATATTAGCTCACTTTTTCAAAGGGAATTAAACAGAGGTAGGACAAAAGGATAAAGGATAGAGGTTAAATGAAAAGACAGACTAATCTTTATTAAGTTATGTTTCCTTTCCACAAGAGGTTAAAGTTAAAACCCCTAGAAATCTGGTAGCGCCACTACACTCATCTCACTCACACAAATCACCATTTAAAATGACAGAGGAACCCTATAGCAGTGTTTCCCATTCCTAGTCCTGGGGTCCCAAAGGGGTGCACATTTTGTGTTTTTGCCCTAACACAGAAGCACCTAATTCAAATCAAAAGCTTGACGATTAGTTGATTGGTTTAATCAAGTGTGTGAGTGTTAGGGCAAAAACCAAAAAGTGCACCAATTTGAGTCCCCAGGACCAGGATTGGGAAACACTGCCCAAAAGCATTTATGATTTGAGAATCATATTCCACCTCTATGGACAGACAGCCTTCAATGTGAGAGAGGAGCCTAACCCCTGAGGTGCGGCGATCACTAAAGATAACAGCCAACAGAACCTCACCTCCCCCTTCATCTCTCCTCAGCCACACACACATTCCCGCACGCACACACACACACCCTTACCTCGTTAGACTCGCACATCTTGAAGAACTTCTCGGAGCCCGTGCACACCTTCCTCTCTTCCCCGATAGCTACCATGCCTGAGAAAAAACAACAACCACATTCACATTTACGTTTCAGTGACTTCGCTTGGCACCAACAAACACACAAACAACTGGAAATAAACCACCAAAGCCCTGGTTAACCACTACCAGTGTCAATGACAGTGTACGTATACTGTAAATGGCAACATTGGTGTGAATGGATGGCGGCGCCCCCCGGCAAGCCCTTACCAAACTGGCGCAGGTCCAGACAGAGGTTGGCCCCCTCCACCACAGTGGTGTTCTGACAGATGGTCCAGATGTTAAAGTACATGAAGACGGGCAGCGAGGTGAAGGCTGTCACACCCAGCCAGGCCAGGAAGAAGATATAGGTCAACATTATGAACTGCAGGAAGGGAGGGAAAAAAAGGGAATGGTTAATTAGAGAGAGAGAGAGTGAGAGAGGGAGAGAGAGAGAGAGAGAGAGAGAGAGAGATAGTAGAGAGCGAGAGGATATGAGAGCATCTACTTCTCGCTTCCGACTCTCATCGAGGATGTTAGCGATCTATCTATCGATCTCTAGCTTCGCTCTCCTCGCTCTCTTTTGTGTGTTCTCTAGGCGATTTGTTTTTTTTTTCTCGCTCTCTCTCTCTTTCTTCTTTCTCTTGCCCTTTCCTCCCTCTTTTCTTCTTCGCCTTCGGGTTTCTCCCCTTCGAAAAATGGATAAGAAATATTTTTGGGGGATTAGTGAGAGAGAGAATATGACAGTTGTAAGTCACGGTAGAAGGTTGACTGACTCATCAGCTTTCATTAGTATTGGGCCATAATTCAAAGGAGAGACATCTTAAACTGAACTTCTCCATCACCAAATCTCTAATCCCGTCTCTAGGGTACTTCCTCCAGAAAGATGTGTCCTAAATGTCTACCCTAATGCTTATATCTATCCAACGCCTTCAGAAATACAGGAGTGCATAGGGCGCAGATAGTGGTTGATTTGCGTGTGTGTCTTACCCAGGCGGAGACGCAGCGTCCGCAGGCGGTGATCTTGAAGTCTCCGTACAGGTCCCTGATGGCTCCGGTGGTGAAGAAGCCCTCCACCATGAGCAGGATGCCGTAGACGAAGAATGCTGCCGCCACGCCGTAGATTACATACTTCAAGATATCAATCCTGCGGAGAAAGAAAGAGAGACAGGAACAGAGCGATGGGATCACTCAGTTGGTGTGGCTAGCACAACAAGATGAGCGGTTTAATTCCCAGGAACCATAGAATTAGGAATTAGAATACTAATTAAGTAGTCATTTGATAGGATCTCTATGACAGGAACTTATAAAGATCCATTTTGGAATCAAAACATTGCTAACCAATACAGGTATGTGCATTGAGTGTGCAGGCCATTTAGTACAGTACTGTACTATTATGTTTTTTTTAGGCCCAGCAGCCCACAAATTCTATTACTTCAAGCAGTGACAGACAGTATTCTGGTTATATACTGCAGTCAGTTTGCCTCCACAGTCATTCTGCATTTTCTCCTTGCTTGAACTAGTGGATTAGCTCCCATTTAGCTAATGAGTGTGGGTTTAATGCTGTAGGGTTATGTAAAAAGCTCTAATTTACCAGAAAGAGCCTGGGTAGGAAAGTTAGCGTTAGCTCCATTCCTGCAGGTTAGGAAGAGATTTCGGAGATAGTTTGAGACAAACACAGTGGGTAGATTTCACAAGCTTTCCTCTGATAAAGAGGATTTTATAGAGGCATAAAGCTTGTTTTTTTGTACCCTCAATCTGTAGTGAATTTCACACCTAGTACAGTAACATATTTGTGGCCTAGAAAGTGTATAGAAAGCCCAGTTACATCAGTATAAAATGCCCAGTTACATCAGTTAGGCCAGGTCTACTGCTCATGTCACAATCTCCCGCCATTTCCAACATCTAGTAGAAGCACACACATCATGCATGCATGCACACACGTACACTTGCAGTCACTGGCACACACCCTCTCCCTCCCTCCCCCTCTCTCTCTCGGCAGGCGGAGTTCCGGTGAGCAGGTGCGCCCGGGACAACCCAGAGCGATTTCAGAGGGCTTAAATCCCTCAAAGGCCCCGTGCCAAGACATCACGCCCGCGTACAAACGCATGCACACACACACACACAAACACACATACACATACACACACACACACACACAGGAGTGGAAAAATCGATCTCCGTCAGTGTGCTGCGTCAGGGAAAGATCTCCCTCCCACACACACACATATTCATGATCAAACACCTGATAAATAAACCTCTCTTCACCAGACAGCCATTTTGAATATATTTTTTAGATGTGAATTATAGCTTAAGAATTCACTATTGCGCGTATTGAGACTCTTCATAGCTTCAACAGTGCAGTTGTCACGGTTTCGGCCGAGGCGGCTCCTCCTCCTTGTTCGGGCAGGTTTCGCCGGTCGTCGTCTCCGGAGTTCTAGCTGCCACCGCTCGATGTTTCGTGTTTGTTTGGTTTTGTCTGTTAGTCACACCTGTTTTGTGTTAGGTCTCATTTAGCACCCTATTTAGTTTCCTTGTTGTTAGGTTTGTGTTGTGTGTGATTGTTCGTGTCGTGGTTGCGCTACCCGTGTCGGTACGCTATTTTCCTGAGCTTCCTCCTTGTGTTGTGAGGAGAGATTTACGCACCTGTGTGTGCGCTTGTATTTACGCCTGTGTGCGTCTTTTGCCTCCGGGCTGTTTTGGATTACTTTTCGTGCACAGTAAAGTCTTGTTGGACTTACCCTCTGCTGCCTGCGCCTGATTCCACACCACACCCATACACAGCACCGTGACAGCAGTACTATACTGTTGTGTATTAAGATAAGGGAGGGGAGAGCAAGGATAGTTTAACTTAATCCTGTTTGAATGATTCATCTTGTTGGGGATATGTATAGATACTGAGTAATAGTGTAGGTGTAAGGGAGATTTGACAACGTAGGACCTCAATATACACTTACGAGACAGCTGTGCACCACTAATGGTTAATCACTTTAGAAGAAAACCATTTATAAAATGTCCTGTTAAGTAACTGTGACTTTCTTCCAGTAGCAATCACGAGGGACTACTTGGGGGGGCATGTAGATTTTACTAACTACGGCGACCAAGGATATGGTGTCTCAATAAGGTGTTAACTATGTGCTCTAGTCATAGCAGACGCGAGATCGGAACCGTTCCCTTTACAGAGACTGAACCTTTCAAAATAGGGCACTTTCTTGTGAGGACACACAGACTGATGTTTCAACCACACTAATAACACAGACTGTCACGCTCTGGCTCCGGGACTGTGTATTTTGAGCCAGGGTGTGTTCATTTGGTTGTGTTGTATTTGGTTGTGTTTCATTGTTTGGTCGTGTGACTCCCAATCAGTGGTAACGAGTGTCAGCTGTCGGCTCGTTATCTCTGATTGGGAGCCATATTTAAACTGTCAGTGTTCACCTTAGTGTTGTGGGTTTTTGTTCCTTGTCAGTCATTGTAACGGAGGACTTCACGTTTCGTCATTGTTTGTTGTTTTCGTGTTTAGGCTTTAATTTAAATAAAGTCATGTTCACCTTCAACGCTGCGCATTGGTCCTCCTCATTAGACGATCGTGACACAGACTGACGTTTCAACCACACTAATAACACTGACTGATGTTTCAACCACACTAATAACACAGACTGATGTTTCAACCACACTAATAACACAGACTGACGTTTCAACCACACTAATAACACAGACTGATGTTTCAACCACACTAATAACACAGACTGATGTTTCAACCACACTAATAACACAGACTGATGTTTCAACCACACTAATAACACAGACTGATGTTTCAACCACAATAATAACACAGACTGATGTTTCAACCACACTAATAACACAGACTGATGTTTCAACCACACTAATAACACAGACTGATGTTTCAACCACCCTAATAACACAGAGTGATGTTTCAACCACACTAATAACACAGACTGATGTTTCAACCACACTAATAACACAGACTGATGTTTCAACCACACTAATAAGGGTAGTTGCTCCAAGGGTCGAGTCAGACAAGAAGTAGGAATAGTGATAATTCCAAGGCAACTTCTTCTCATTGAGTTTCAACACATCTCCAGGCTGCATGTAGGTGTTCTAACTAGACCATGAGTCATTTTGAAAAGGGCAAAAAACATTGTGACACCCCTCCCACACAAACACACCCACACTCACATGGTTAAGACATCCAGGGTTTCCATGGGTGCTCGGACTACCTCAAAGTAGTTCTGCAGGATGGTGACGGTGCCAGAGAGGGCCTCGTGCCCGCAGCCACAGAACAGCGCCACCCCAGCGTACAGAAGGATGGTAGCAAAGAGAGAGGCATACGGGAGGACGCCCAGGCATTTGACACAGCACTCAAAGCACCCTGGACAGAGGGAGAGAGAGAGAGAAGAGGATAACGTTTAGACTAAAGACGGTGGTAGAATAGCTTAGACATTCACAGGTGCTCTAGTCATTAAATACTGTACATGTAACACTCTATTCATGGCTTGACAGGAATTGAAATACATTTGACACCAAAACCAAAGAAAAGAAAAGCACTCTAACAGTGAGGGAATCTTTGATTCAGAACAGAAGATCATTAAATCAGCATTTATATTCCCGCCACATTTCATTCAACCTTTTATTTTATTACATCTATTTTACTACACCAAATCCCACCGCATCTAATTTAAAACGCACAGGGATCAAATCATATCCCATCTATCATCCGATAACAACAAATGCTCTAACCACATTTCTCCAGTTGACCCAGGGCAGGAAGTTAACTGTCACTCCAGCCAATCATAATCGCTCCTCGGACAGATTTATGGGTTTAATACACAGAGCGCAAACAGTATTGATCCGTAGATTGCGGATTGCGGCCCTGCAAATGGAATCACTCCTTTCACCCGGGCTAGAGCAGCAGCTGAATTTATGACTGGTCGTAAACAAGGTGAGTCAGTGAGTGAGTTAGAGTGAGAGAGAGCGCTACAAAACAGAACAATGATAGCTAGAAGGAGAAGACACAGAAGGAGAGGGATGGAAGGAGAGATGCCATGTAATGGATAATACTGTGTCTGTGTGTGTGTGTGTGTGTGTGTGGGGGGGGGGGGGTTATGTTTTATTATCTCAGACTACAGGACAGGAAGTATCTATCTGACTGTGATATTTAACTCCTATTTTTCAAACACCTGTTGGGATTTTCCTTAGCCTGGTCCCAGATCCATTCGGGCTCTCGCCAATGCCAACAACATTGCTGTTTGGCATGACAATGAATGAAAAGGAGTTCGCATGATAGCTCCAACAGACTGTCACTCAGGCTAGGTTTTCCTTGTTGTATTATTCCTGTGCAGTTGGTGACTACAGCACAAATCCCAGTTCTGTTCTTCGTCCTCTACCGTACATTAGTGCCTCTGGACTGGCTTTAGTTAGAACAGTTGGAAGGCATTTAAACCTGCAGGGTCCCAGCTGTGTTGTGAATGAATAACCCTCACACCTACGCTACATCTTGACTTTACCTGAAATCACTCCTGTCTATTTCTGTTATACCCCTCTCTGCACACACAGGATGCTCTGGGGACCCTCACTGCCGCAGCCTGGAGAATGAGTGTGACTGTGTGTGTGTGTGTTAGTTAGTTAGTTGATGTCAGGTGGTATTGAGTGTACCGTGAGCACAGGACCAGACTTCAGCCAATAGGAAATCAGATTTAGTTCAGAATCCTCTGCAAGTCTCTTTCACTGTCAATCATGCTTATCCCCTTAGGGCACAGATGAGTGTGTGTGTGTGTGTGTGTGTGTGTGTGTGTGTGTGTGTGTGTGTGTGTGTGTGTGTGTGTGTGTGTGTGTGTGTGTGTGTGTGTGTGTGTGTGTGTGTGTGTGTGTGTGTGTCTGTGCAGGAGAATGCCTGCGAGACAGGAAAGTCCGCCAACTCACTCCCTATGTCTTCAGAGAGCCAAGACTGACGCAGGGAGAGGAGAAACAGAGAATATAATCTTAATCTATACTGTTTCATATCCCCATCATCCCATCAGGCCATGTGGTATACTGATTTTAATGTATATTCATGATGAATAAATATTGGCGAATAAATTACAGTGATAATAGTAAGCAAAGGCTATATGATCATCTTACGGTACCCTCCTCTTTGTGCATTGAGGGAATAGGTTTCTAATAGCCCCAATCCTAGTTATATTAGTAACATTGGTTCCTTGGTTTTGGACTGAATGGGCATGCCTATATACGGTCGCTAGTGAATGTCTAAACACCCCTTGCACACTCTTCACATTTTTCTTCCTTAAAATATATTTTTCCCTACCGATCTACACAACCTAATCCACATTTTCAAAGTAAAATCTAAATTAATTAAAAATTAAAAATGAGGGGTGTGTAGACTTTCACTAGGCTATCGACTCTGGTGTGTGTGTGTGTGTGTGTGTGTGTGTGTGTGTGTGTGTGTGTGTGTGTGTGTGTGTGTGTGTGTGTGTGTGTGTGTGTGTGTGTGTGTGTGTGTTCCTGTGGCAGACTGGCCACAGTGGGGTATTGATTTCTGAGCCCAGACTACGGGGATCAAAGCACATTGGGCAGTGGGCAGCTTCATTAATCTACACATACACACCCGATAACGATGGAGTCAGAAGTATCTGTATAATGGCAGCTGATAAATGGTTTACAAAGCTGATACGTCATGTGGGTGAGGACTTGGGGAATGATTCAAGCAAGCTGTATAACTTGGACTAACAGACCAAGGTATTTTCTCACTCCAAGTGATACTGTGTTGATCACATTTCTTGAAAGATCGTACTGCATTTACTATATTCAGTTCTAAATACTATAGTTATAACTTCACTATTTCATGTTATTAATTCTATAACAGGTTCATTGAATTGCAAAGATGACACAATTGCACCTCCACTGCTTTCACAGAAGTATGCCTTTCTGTCTTGCCCTGATGCCCAGCTCAGAATACTAACATGAACTGTGCTCTCTCAGTTCAGAAACATTCGAAAGAGACCATGGATATTCATTGGAAACGGTTGGCCGGATGCCCCCAAGACTGAATCTGGGAAAGCCATTGTCAGCACAAAGTGGAAATGAGCAGCTCAGTTCACTATCTTTCCCAGGAAAATCATTCTAAAAATCTATTCGCTGATGTGAGCGGTGTGTGTGTGTGTGTGTGTGTTCACAGTACGCCCGAACACAGCGGAGGCCTGCAAATGGAATAAGACAATGTTTGTTTTCCATTACCCTCAGCCCAGTAGAGACAGGACTAAATAGGGTGGTAACAGGTTGTAATTACATTGCCCTCTTCTATACAACATGCCAGGCTAGACGCTGTGAGGAGAATGTGTCAGTACCAATCCCATCCTCTTCTTCTGCCATGCATTTACCCACTGTGGGGGAGTGTAGTAGTTATCTGTATGGCAACATGCCAGTGGGGTATAAACCTGCATACACACACACACACACACACACACACACACAGGCTGGCAGATAGGCATGTGCACCCAGACCCACCGCGAGCCTCACTCACTCCCTCCCTCCACACACGCCCAATAAGATGTCAGCACCCCATCTAGAGGGTTAATCTAACACCTTACTGACTGCCTGGTTCAGACTCTGTTCACATGCACGTCTAACAATGTCCAACATTCATCACAGTTGTCTGGTCAAAGCCAGCAGAGGGGAGGGCTATGTTGGATCATCATTCTTAGTGATACGTCATAGATTCCACAGGCATGTTAGGAAAAGGATTTCACCAACAGAGAGAAAACTTATGGTGGTGTGTGTATGGTTGAGATCTGGGAAGGAACATCTAGTCTCATTCATCTAGTCTATTCATGATTGGGATAAATCCATGTGTGAATCTTGTCTAATCTATGCTAGGATACATAATTGATAGATAGCTGAGATTTGATTGATAACTAATCAATAATCACTTTCCAAGTGGACAACACACATCACCTCTACAACTAATGGCACCTGATAGGGGATCCATCTGATCCATGACTGTCCTCTAAGGACTCAATCAATAACACAGATTCATGATCTTTCTCTCGATGTCCACCCTATGAACATGAATAGTGCTACATAGATGATTATTAACTGTATGTAAGGCCCAGTAAACCACTAGACACAGTAGTAGGTAGAGCCATCCCAGTGGGCAAAAACTGGTTGAATCAACGTTGTTCAGACAAACAAAAAGGTTTAATGGGTTTGCACTCAAAGATATGTTGCTAAAATCTTACTTCATTATTCAATGTTTTTTTATTATTTTCACTGCATCAGGGATAGCGTACACAGACGCTTCGGCTTTACAGCCTTCTTCAGTGTGTAGGTAAAATGTTATTTTATTTCAAAATAGCATTTGTAAAGAACAACAGATGAGCAGCAGGTGCTTCTAATCAGGTTTGCCACTCATCTGCCAATCAGGGATGTGGCTTTTCTGGTCTACACAGACAAATACAGAATTATAGGGTATGGGAGCTGGCACGAAGGGCAAAGCCCCAGGTGTCCGCTCACATCAACGTTAATCAACGTTGTTTCCACGTCATTTATTTCAACGAAGAAATTCAATGTGATGACGTTGAATCAAAGTGGAAAACTGATTTAATTTCGTATTTTTTTCCACCCAACCTTAACTTAGATCCAATGACATGTTGAAATGGTTTGTTGATTTCAAGTTGAATTCATGTTAGTCGAAAACTCAACCAAAAATGTAATCAAAATTAGACGTTGAATGACGTCTGTGCCCAGTGGGATGTCCTGTTGATTGATGAGGTAACAGTAGATTAATGGCCTCTTAAAGGTATCTTAAAGGGTATGTGTCTCTTGATGGGGAGGCTAGGGGTAATTTCTGTAGTGCTGTCCGGGTCTTAAGTGTTTTTTTTTTTATCTAGATGGATGGTGACACGCACACAAACACTCACATGGAGATGCTCGCTTAGCTTAATAGTTCTCTGTCAGCAATATCAACTCCATTTCCCAGGGGACTTTGGCTTGGATGCCCACTCACCCAGTGAGGGCCTAGTCTGTCTATCTGGTCTGCTCAGCCTTCTACACTACTCATTAAAATGGTAATCTCTTCTCGCCTCCACCCCCTGCCCTGCGGAGGAAAAGTTCCCTTTCCCGTTAACTTAAAATAAGACTTTTTCAAGGCAACCCCCGCTTGTGAATTTTAATTAAGAAAGTCTACGTCTTTTTTTTTTATTATCCTGGCCGGGTGTTTAAGACAGGCTATTTATATAGGGTTAGATACCATGTCTGGTTATGAAGCTTGATAGCCAGGAACAATACCCCACAATACCCTGCTTTATACTCTTAGGGCCGGCTGCTGGACACAGATTAAGCCGAGACTAGATATTCTCCATTGAGTATGCTTTTTAGTCCAGGACTAGGCTTCATCTGTGTCTGGGAAACCAGCCCTTACAGAAATAGTGAGCAGAATGTATTTTAGCCTAGGCTATACTGCTCTACTTTCCGGCTACCCGGATAAAGCACTAAATAAACTTCAGTTAGTGCTAAATACGGCTGCTAGAATCCTGACTAGAACCAAGAAATTTGATCATATTACTCCAGTGCTAGCTTCCCTACACTGGCTTCCTGTTAAGGCAAGGGCTGATTTCAAGGTTTTACTGTTAACCTATAAAGCGTTACATGGGCTTGCTCCTACCTATCTTTCCGAGTTGGTCCTGCCGTACATACCAATACGTACGCTACGGTCACAAGACGCAGGCCTCCTAATTGTCCCTAGAATTTCTAAGCAAACAGCGGGAGGCAGGGCTTTCTCCTATAGATCTCCATTTTTATGGAACAGTCTGCCTACCCATGTGAGAGACGCAGACTCGGTCTCAACCTTTAAGTCTTTACTGAAGACTTATCTCTTCAGTAGGTCATATGATTGAGTGTAGTCTGGCCCAGGAGTGTGAAGGTGAACGGAAAGGCTCTGGAGCAACGAACAGCCCTTGCTGTCTCTGCCAGGCCGGTTCCCCTCTCTCCACTGGGGTTCTCTGCCTCTAACCCTGTTACAGGGGCTGAGTCACTGGCTTGCTGGTGCTCTTTCATGCCGTCCCTAGGAGGGGTGCGTCACTTGAGTGGGTTGAGTTACTGACGTGATCTTCCTGTCTGGGTTGGCGCCCCCCCTTGGTTTGTGCTGTGGTGGAGACCTCTGTGGGCTATACTCGGCCTTGTCTCAGGATTGTAAGTTGGTGGTTGAGGATATCCCTCTAGTGGTGCGGGGGCTGTGCTTTGGCAGAGTGGGTGGGGTTATATCCTTCCTGTTTGGCCCTGTCCGGGGGTTTCTTCGGATGGGGCCACAGTGTCTCCGGACCGCTCCTGTCTCAGCCTCCAGTATTTATGCTGCAGTAGTTTATGTGTCGGGGGGCTGGGGTTAGTTGGTTATACCTGGAGTACTTCTCCTGTCTTATCCAGTGTCCTGTGTGAATTTAAGTATGCTCTCTCTAATTCTCTCGTTCTCTCTTTCACTCTGAGAACCTGAGCCCTAGGACCATACGTCAGGACTACCGGGCATGATGACACCTTGCTGTCCCCAGTCCGCCTGGCCTTGCTGCTATTCCAGTCAACTGTTCTGCCTGCGGTTACGAAACCCCTACCTGTCCCAGACCTGCTGTTTTCAACTCTTAATGATCGGCTATGAAAAGCCAACTGAGAGACCTGAGCCCTAGGACCATACGTCGGGACTACCGGCCGTGGTGACTCCTTGCTGTCCCCAGTCCGCCTGGCCTTGCTGCTATTCCAGTTTCAACTGTTCTGCCTGCGGTTATGGAACCTCTACCTGTCCCAGACCTGCTGTTTTCAACTCTTAATGATCGGCTATGAAAAGCCAACTGAGATTTATTCCTGATTATTATTTGACCATGCTTGTCACTTATGAACATTTTTGAACATCTTGGCATGGTTCTGTTATAATCTCCACCCGGCACAGCCAGAAGAGGACTGGCCACCCCTCATAGCCTGGTTCCTCTCTAGGTTTCTTCCTAGGTTTTGGCCTTTCTAGGGAGTTTTTCCTAGCCACCGTGCTTCTACACCTGCATTACTAGCTGTTTGGGGTTTTAGGCTGGGTTTCTGTACAGCACTTCGAGATATTAGCTGATGTAAGAAGGGCTATATAAAATAAAATTGATTGATTGATTGATTGATTGACTTCTAGTGCTAATGACATAGAAGTTGCTAATACAAAAAAGTGTCGGCTGTAGCATAAGCATTGATTGGCATTGTACACTATTATCCCCTGCAATTGCATTGGCCTCTTCCAGAATGACTGTCATTACGAAGCAGCCGCTCAGACATTTAAGAAACGTTAAAGTGAGGCAATAAAACGAGAGACAGGGGGGAGAAATGGTGTCAGCCAGATTGTTATTAAATGTTATTAAAAGCTGTGTGATATTCCATTCCAGTTGGCACATTGACCCACCTCTGTGCCCACTCCTTTGAAGGGTATTAGAGATTTATAATTGAGGTTGTGCCCACCCTGCTCTTACTGTCATTCATTGACCTCATTGGGAATGCAGCCAATCAGTCCATTCTACTAACTGTCACTCATCGACCTCATTGGGATCACAGCCAATCAGCTCATACTACTAACTGTCAGTCACCGACCTCATTAGGAATGCAGCCAATAAGTCATTGACTTTGACAGATGTGGAACAGCGCTGTGCAGACACTCATAGAGATAGACAAACAACACAGAAACACATTCAGTTCACTATAAACCACTTACTATCCTCAAATAATATTCTATTTTGAATGCATGCCTTCTGATTGACCATAGTGAGGGTAAGATACAAATCAGCAGGTCTGTGAACTTCCTTCCACAATAATAGTCTATATACTTGTCAACCCCCCAAATGATTTCTGTTTGGCTTCCCTGGCTGTTTAGGCTCTTTGTTTCAGTTCATCCAACTGTTTAATGAGCCAATTCAGTTTCCCACTGATTCCATCCTGTGTTGGCATACATAGTGCTTGATATAGGCTGTGCAGCCTTGGGTATAGGGGACATGCCACTGTCCATTTCTGCACTGACGACTTCATTTATGCAAAGCCTGATGTTTGAGCGCTGATGCATAAGGCAGAGTGCATCGGTTTACATAAGGTAGTGCTTTTGAACACAAGCAAAGGAAATCAAGATCTTACTTCTAAATAAGCTACATTGAGCTCGGAGCTATACTGATAATTCCATTTTCATCTGGGACTTTTTAAAGACCGCCTTAAGATCTCACATCAAATATCAACATACACAAAACCTCGGTGTGTCAGCGTAAAAATATCTCCAGCACCTGTGAGAGGAAGTTAATGATGAAATTACTGTCACAGCTACTTCTCACAGCATAGAGTCCTACTCCTTAAGGCATAAACATTTTGCGCAATTAAAATCTCATTTGTAATGTCCAGCTGAACCGTAGTGAGATGAGATGCTCAATCATTAGCCTTGCTAGCACGTTTTCACCATCGCCGTCTCCCTCCCTTTCCTCAAACAGACATACAGACAGCTAGCGGTCGGCTATTAGCCAGCCTGTATGTGTGACTCAGAGGCAGTACTGTGATAAGCTCTGCTGCCTGCATCCTCCAACTGGACTCCTGACTGGAATAGCAAACAGGCAGAATGGCCCAAAGACAAATGGGTAATGGCCTGACCGTTTGTGTTAGCTACTAGCCGATATACAGTATACCATGGCTGTTTCTCCGAGTGAGACTGACTCTCTGGTAGACATTTTCAGTACAGTCGGTGTTTCACACCTCCATGACTCTCTGACGGCGTCTGAAATGGCCCCCTATTCCCTAGACATGCACACTAAAAAGGATACAGGGGCCATTAAGGACGCAGCCATTATTTCACATAGCCAGTCTAGTGGATGTTTCACACCCGCCATTTCAGTGTGAACACCAGTGTGGTGTGTGATGAGAGGAGCTCGGGTGCCAAAATGGCTGCCTTGGCTTGCATCTACTCATTAGTGGTGGATGAGGGGAATTAGGTTCCTACTCCTATAGGACGTAGTGAAACACAGTCTAAAGGCCGACACATTCATTAAGACTCAGGTTAACTACCTACAACCCACAGCCTGTGTGTTTGTGTGTGTGATGAGGGGTATGTCTGTTTGTCCAGTGCATTGTTCATGTTGACCGGCGTCCAGTAGAATAGTATGGCAGGTCTTGATAGATTACAAAAAGGGGCTAGAGCCCTTGCATGTGTATAAAGAGGAGTCATGCTTAATCTATACAGAAGGAGATAACCCAGCTGCCTTGGCAGACAGTACAGCGTCCCATCAATTCTGGGAGTTATGGAGCTGAGGCCAGGCAATGTGAAATTAACCTCAATGAATTTCCTTTGACTATAAGTCTTGTTAACGGCAGGGTGGCTACAGACACATACACATGCATGCACGGTAAAGCTTAATGATATGGACCCTCCCCCCAAAAATCAATTTTGCGATAAAATGCCTGAATTGATGTGATAATGATAAATTGAATGATACGTTTATAATATTAATGGAAACCTTTTTTAATGGTCCTTTTAAACTACTACTTCTAGTTTGATGGTTGTAGCCATCAATTGTCCCATTAACAATCATCCATATTAGCTAATTTATATCATTTTACATTTCATATTTCTCTAGGATAGGCTCCTTATTGTAATGAACGATATCAGCAAAATGCCTGCGATAAGTGATCGGTATGGTTGGTGTCATCCCAGCTCTAACGTACACACACACACACACACACACACACACACACACACACACACACACACACACACACACCATACCCTCTCAACCCCTATCCTGTATCAGTTACATATAGATCCAACACTGTGATCCCAATATGATCAGATCAACTACCCTTGACTATCAACACACCCTTCCAGTCCTACTCACTCTTTTGCAGTTTCGACCAATAGAAACCAGACACCCCTCAGGTCTCATGGGGCGGTAACCGATGTGCCCAATGTCACAGGTCACTTCATTCTACTCCATTGTCCCTTCACAATTGAATCAAGCAGCACTGAGATGACTGGTGGAAGGCTAAGTCAATACCAGACAGTCAATGCAGATGCAGTATCCAGCTGGAGTACCATCTACTGCCACAGAGTAGGGAGAGACTGGCACTGTATACAGCGTGGGGATAGAAGATGATATCATAAGCCAACGATACAGTATCTACTTACTTTCTATGTTAAAATTGGAAGAGATGGGAGAATACTGTTTACAGTAACAGCATAGAATATGACGTATTCCCATATTTACATGAACATAGCACTTAGAATGTATGTCCCAATATATTGCTTTAGTTAAAGTGGTATGCTAGGGTGGGTTTTGGCACAGAGCCGATGATATTCTCTTTGTGTCTCACGCAAACCCTTTGTATTACTGCAACTCGTGCTCCACCGACAGGCTGCATCCTGGGTAATATCTCCCATGCTGCTCGGCTCCACAGGGGGTGACGATTGGCCCATTTTTCCCCCCTCTCAGCATTCTATCTTTTAATCTTGTTGCATATTCATAATCGTTATTGTTATTAGTACAGTTTCTCGGCACACTAGACCGATAGACAGACATCATTATTATTATTATTATTATTATTATTATTATTATTATTATTATTATATCATTATCTAAAATTAAATGCAATAAATGCACAGAACTCACATTTGATTTGACATACCTTTATCAATGGTAAATGTTTGAGACCTATGTGTGACTCAAATCAAACTCGGCGCAATTCAATGACTTTTGAATGTTTTATAGTTCCTGCAGGCTTAAATGTGTATCTATGTATAATAATGAATTTTTAGCGAGTGATTTGATAGTGACTGAGGATGTAGTGTTATAGTAGTGTGGCAGTGTTACCACAGAAACCTCCAGTGTGACTGTCAGGGACGGTTAGGGAAGCAACACCCTCAGAGCAGGACGGACAAGCAAAGATCACAACAATAACACTCTACTTTCCTCAGGCTATAACACCCTAAGCCCACTTTAACCACACACACACACACACGCACACTTAGCATTGAGAGAGAACATCTCTGATACACAACGCCCAAAATATGAAGGCGTTTTAATCACCATTCCCATCAAATCGGATGCAATAAGGTTTGAAAAAATGCCAGAACATTAAAATGAATGTCAGGTCCGCTAACGAATTAGGCGACCAGTCTCGCGGGGAACGCATTGGAATGGTCGGTCGGTACAACTGGTTAATTTTGGTAATGCGTGTGTAAATCGGGTTTAGACTAGCTGTTCTGAATTAATTTCCAGAAGTGGATGAATTATCCCTGTCGGCGGTGAGGCAGGGAAGCTGCACGCGTTCCATATGATTAGAGCCTTGTTGCTATGGTGCCTACGGGGTATTCTCTTTAAACCATTACTCTTTAAATGATTTATGAAGATGCCGGTATTCAAAATGCAGGATAGACAGACAGACAGATGGAAAGAAAAAGTTTAAAAATAATGAGGAGTGTGTGTGTGTGTGTGTGTGTGTGTGTGTGTGTGTGTGTGTGTGTGTGTGTGTGTGTGTGGCATAGAAAAAAAACAAGTCTGGGTCTGATAGGAGATTTGGGTCGGGGGTGGGGTGGGGCGAGGTACTTATTTTTTTTTTTAACACTGTTAAGAAGGATAACACACATTCTATCTGTCCATCATTGGAGTATTAAAATTAATATTAAAATGTATTATGGATCAGCCCAGTCAACATTTAGAGAGACTAGGAGAGATTGGGAGAAATGGAACCTGGGAGAATCCTTCAGTACAACACCAAGCAACAAAAGAAAAGAAGCCGTCCAATCCTCTAACACTACAGGAGATGTAAAAGAAGCCTGGTGAATAATTAATATGCCTCATTTGCATATCAGTCTAGAGAAGTAGCAGTAACAGCAGTAACAGCAGTAACAGCAGTAACAGCAGTAACAGCAGTAACAGCAGTAACAGCAGTAACAGCAGTAACAGCAGTAACAGCAGTAACAGCAGTAACAGCAGTAACAGCAGTAACAGCAGTAACAGCAGTAACAGCAGTAACAGCAGTAACAGCAGTAACAGGGTCCCAGAGCCCCTACTGTAACTGCAGGGGCCATTTTCTCTGACGCCTCTCAAAGTGGTCTACTTCGGCTCTGTGATGGGATGTTTCCTTATACAGGGAGACAAACAGATACACAGCAAATCACTGTTTTGTTTTATTGATGTGTTTTCTGTTGTTGGGTGAAATGGGATAATTGGAGAAATCGGTGGTACATTATGAAGCCAATTGAAAGTTCATGGTAGTCCACCAACTCTTTCTCTGATGGTCAGTGGTGCGAAGCACTCAATAACATGTGTGAATTAGAGACCCATGCTTTGTGTGATGCTTGATTGTTTTTCTCTTCAACAGACTGGTGCATGGTTGAGATCATTCGTCCCAAAGGTTCAGAGGCAAAAATGCTGTGAAGCAATGTGTTGTGACAGTGTTGTGTTTTGTGAAAGTGGTGCATCAGCTTCTAGTCTACACACAGAGAGATGCAACACCTCATGTTGAGTCTAACTCCTCCTGCCTGAGAACAGAGTGGTGAGGTCAGATACCAGAAGTTGATATGACGTTCAGAGGAGTCAAAATAAAGAGAAAGAGATAGAGAGACTGCGAGAGAGAGACAGACAGAGAGAAAGAGAGAGACAGAGAGAAAGAGAGAGACAGAGAGACAGAGGGAAAGAGAGAGACATAGAGAGACAGAGAGAGACAGAATTCAGCTGCCCTGAGGTGGCGCTATGTTGAGAGTTGTCATCAAACCTCCCTCTTCCCTCCCTCCCTCCCTCCCTCCCTCGACACCACTTCAGAGGCGTTCCCCTGGGGACAGGCCGGATAGCCCTAGCAGACAGCCGTCACACGTCACTAGCATCCCTTCTGCTGACAGAGGTCTGGAGCTCACAGTCACATCAAACAGCTTGTGTGTCTGTGTCTGTGTGTGTCTGTGTGTGTGTGTGTGTGTGTGTGTGTGTGTTTCCCTGACTCTCCCCTTCTCTTCTTCTAGGAAAACCACAACCAGCTTTTTTCACTCTTTAAACAGCTTTGATAAAACGGTTCTATAGTTCTCAGTGATGTCATCTTTAGTAGGTTTTGAGAGTCGGTTAGTGGGTTTTGACCTGTGGTGTTTGGGGTCATAGGCAGTTGTATTCAAGGTTATACCCTGGTCTAGTATGGCCTACTCGTCTTTAGATGAAGCGCTGAACCCAAAGCGACCTCTTCCAACCTTGTGTGGTGAGGTCAGTGTAAGAGGCTTGACCTGGTCCGTTCATCCATATGGATGTGAACCACAAACTTGAAATCCCTCTCCGATTCAACACAATCTCCCATTCAGAAAAGCTTGTTTGCTTTATCCATATGCCCTATCTTCTTTAGATGGAAATACAAGCATGGCTTTCCATAAAGCACAGCCATGTATGTATGTATGCTATAGGTTATGGCTCTGCCCAAAACCACTCAAATCCCTCTAAAACACATCAATAGGCCTACTGTAACTATCCATCTCTACTCCTTTGGAACGCTTCATACTGTAGTGCGTTGACCACATCAACTAAATCCAACCCCATTGTCCTCCTCTGTCAGTACAGGTACATAGGTCCCCTTATAGCGATCCGCTCCATCATCTGCAGTTAGATTTTAGCGCTATGCATCTGTCTTGCGTGCCAGCGTTTAGCCGTAGCGATGTTGTTGCCTTGACGGGGTATGTGTTCCAGAAAGCTGGAGAAATGGGAGAGCACAGAGGCAGAGGCAGAAATCTCGGGATGGGAGACAGAGAGGATGCTTCTTCCATTATTTAGGGCTGCTAGCCTGCTAGAGTCATTAATAATGTAGCTAGCCTAGCGTCAGGCTGGGATCGCCTTGCTCTGTGCTGCTGTGATGTTGTTGTGATGCTGTGGGGAGGCTCATTTAGGAGGCCGGATCTGAGGGAGGAGGGAGGAGTTATTATTAAGGCATAACCAGGATCAGAGGTGTGTCTCGGAGGTGTGTCTTTTGATGGGCGTGTGTGTGTGTGTGTGTGTGTGTGTGTGTGTGTGTGTGTGTGTGTGTGTGTCTGTCTGTGTGTGAGTGTGTGTGTGTGTGTGTGCGTGTGTGTGTGTGTGTGTGTGTGTGTGTGTGTGTGTGTGTGTGTGTGTGTGTGTGTGTGTGTGTGTGTGTGTGTGTGTGTGTGTGTGTGTGTGTGTGTGTGTGTGTGTGTGCGTGTGCGTGTGTGTGTGCGTGTGGGTGTGTGTGTGTGGGAGTGGTGTGTGTGTGTGTGTGTGTGTGTGTGTGGGAGTGGTGGGTGTGTGCTTAGGAAATGTCAGTGAAATAAGTATTTGTCCTCTAACCACCATAACAATACCACAACAAGACAATATCGGCCATGACACATTGTTGTTGTCTACAATGACAGTAACATAGGTGAATTGCAGTTACAATCAGGCCGAATGGCATATAAAATTGACTTCTATGAAAATGATTGAAGCTCCCTTATTCTGTGGTGTGTTCATACTCAATTCTACACAGTAAATCCATGCTGCGTTTTGGAATATAAATATAACCAATTCTAAAGGGTTCAGATGGTTTAGAGGAGACTCACACACTGCTACTGTACAAGCAACAGAAGGCGTTTCCCTCATGACAAAGAGACTCCTCTCCTGCCCACCCCCTCGCGCTCACTCTCTCTCTCCCCCTCCCTCCCTCCCTCCCTCCCTCTCTCTCTCTCTCTCTCTCTCTCTCTCTCTCTCTCTCTCTCTCTCTCTCTCTCTCTCTCTCTCTCTCTCTCACTCTTGCTCTCCTCTCCCCCCTCTCGTCACCTTTTCAGTCTTTCCATCTGTCAGAGCCCATGTCAAACAGGCACCCCAGGGATTAACCCCCCCCCCCCCCCCCCCTCTAATCCATAGGGGGATCAAAGGCCACAATTATCTAATGGTTACCTCTGAGTGGGGGAAAGAATAGAACAGGCGTCTTCAATAGAAACCAGGACCAGTGGGTAATTGGAATACAAGGCAGCACGGCCCCTTTGCCATTCCATCCTTTCTCTGTATATATATACACCAGTGAGGTGAGGGAGGGGAGGGGCTAAAGAGACAATGGAATGGGAAGTACAACCCCCTATACAACCCGGTCCTCTGTAGCTCAATTGGTAGACCATGGCGCTTGCAACGCCAGGGTAGTGGGTTCAATCCCCGGGACCACCCATACGGAAAAATGTATGCACACATGACTGTAAGTCGCTTTGGATAAAAGCGTCTGCTAAATGGCATATTATTTTATTATTATTATACACAGGAAGACTGAACAAAGAAACACAAGGGTCATAGACATTAGGCAAAGCAGCTGTTGTTAGAGTTTAAAATACTATATACTGTTTGAAACCGCCGTAGTATATAAATCAAAGTGAATTAGCAAATGGGTTTTGTTGATAACGTAGCTATAAGTGACCTTCTATTGTTCAGAAGGAACAACCCACCTATGTAACAGTGAGGA